TAAGTCATAATGTAACATGGTGAAAATTCATTTGACAAGTGAAACCAACCCGAGTTTGGTTTATTGATTTTTGCTCACAGTTCAGACAATAGAAAATTGAACAAAAGTATTCAAAAGTTTGTCAAGTAAAAATTGCTTCAAGCAGCTATTCAACTATAACATCTGCAAAAACTATTCACTTTCTGGTTTTTAGTAGAATTTTAGGCAGTTACGTTGGCGTCTAGAGAGTTAAAGACGTTCGAATTCCCCTTTCAATTGATTATTTAAATAAGGATAAGTATTTGAAGATCAGATTGTCGGTATTCAGAATATTACTTCGTCCTCTGGGCTTTTAATTCCAGAGGTAAATCTATCATTTTCAACCTCATCACTGTTTTCATTAACTGAATTAAGTATAATTTACGTGTTTGTTTGCAGAAGAGTTTTCAGTGCAAGATTTTCGACTTACTGTATTTTAATTGTATTCTTAAGTAACGTCATTAGAGGAAGTCTTGGTTGATAGATCGCCAAACTTTGTTAATTCTATTCGATACTTTCATTCCTGTTTTGTGCTCGATGGGTACCTGTCAGTTGGTGTTTTTCCATAAGATTACCATAAATTTATTGTGCGTTTCATTTTGGGAGGTTGTTTAGATAAAATGCTGGATAGCTTTGAAATAATTTTCCCTTTGGATAAGTTTTTATTTAAGTAAGACAATATTTTTAATAGTCCCCAGTGGAATATTGTATTGATTAGTTCATGGGAAGATGAAGAACATACCATCGCATACCATAGTTGTTATAATCGCTATGGTTTAAGCATTATGTGATTGGAAATCATACCATTTCAAATGGTAAATTGTATCCTTTTTCGATCAAAATTGTCATTGGGAACCAAGTGTATTATGCACTATTGATAGATTGCGTGTTGGAAGAGACCATTAGAAGTAAATTTTGTACAGTACGCTACACTCAGATATCTTAACTTCATTTCTCTACGAGCTCATAATGAAAACTGATATAACAGATAAAGATTAACTGAAGGATTTCAGCTATCCGTATACCATCGCAGAAGAGGCTATAACACCTAAGAGACCATTAGTGAAGTAATAAAATCAGATTAGTAATCAGTCATACATAAATAAAACAGCAGTGAACTTCTGTAAGAAGGCTGTCTTAGCCATTATTAGTAAAGATATATTGGAAAACTGATGGGGGGAGATAAAATTTCCAAAGGTACTTCTGACTTAACTACTGACGTTTCACAACCTCCTGACAACATAAGGATAAGCAAATCTTGATTTTAATTCATTAGTTAACTGTAAAGAATTCATATCAAAGTTACTAGGCAGTTAAATCAAGTAAAGTGAACGGAGTAGATAAAGTACAATAAGACATTTAATTCCCTTAACAAGAGGATGAAGTAAGACATTCCTGTCTGTACTTTCGCATGTCTAAGGATGGTTAAACTTTCACACGAACAGGTCCCATAGTTAAATGTCTCTGTATTACTACAAAAGATGTTTTGAAAAATCTCACAGGTGAGTCACAACACCATGGTATTGTGGAAACTCAAAAGTATTATCAAAAAGTATTTGCTGACACCTACCAGTAATTATTTTCAAGCTGACATTTGTACTTTCTGTGGCAGTGTGATGTGTCTTGTATCAGAGACCAACATTAAATACGTATTATTGATTTATTCGCTAGGATACATAGTTGGTACAATGTGGGCACCAATAGAAGCATCACAGTAAATACAGTGAAACAATATACAGAAAAGAAGCAGAATAACTATGGAACGGGGTCATTAAAGACAGGTAGGTGTACCAGCCAAGACCACCACTTCGCTTCACTTTCAGATCGACTGAAAAGAAGTAAAAGTGGAGACGTGTTCGCCACTGACTACGATTATCTGATAACGCCTTGAGCTGCTACCTTGGATTTTCTCTACGACCCCGCCAGGGAATCAAGACTTATCCGAAGATGTGGATGTAACGAAACAATTCTCCATCTTATGGGCTGACCAACCATCTGGTTTCTCTACTTATCCTCACGGTTGTCAAACAGAGAGCGGTGTGAGAATCGCTGGGACGACATCCTTACTACATGTGTAAGACATCTAAGTCGTGGTCTAATATAAGAACACTTATTTAAAGATAATCACCGTTCTCTCCACATACACGTTACAGGACCCCGGAACTACTCATGTGATGATGCGACATGACGAAAGCAATTTCGCGGAGACAGCAGTGACTGAATACTTTGTGCTGCCGCATATCTTGACATCAGAGAGGCTGTTATACAGGCATAGAACAAGACTGAGGGCACAAAAGCAATGTAAACCATACTTTTGACTACCAGGCTAGAGTCGCGTGGCGCAGGACGTGGTTAAGTTTCATATATTTCACCTTGGTTTCCAGTAAAATTTTAAAGTAATATCCGTCATATCTTTGCCAGCACTCACACGACCAACTGGATACACACCTACTTCTAGTGGCTAGATTGTAAGGGTGAGAGTATTCACAGGATCCTACCATTTTTGAACGGTTTCTTTACCCAAGTGGAGCAAATCCTACATCATAATTACAATCAAAAATCGTTAACTGATCCAGTATAATGATATTAGATGTTTGGAGACAGTCGGCAGGAAGCCTTGGACCTAGGTTTCGTGCTAGTCGGCACTCGTCGGCAAAGCGTATCTGCAACCTTGAAGGAACTCATGTCCCTTAAGAAATTCGAATCCGCGTCACTCGATGCTGCAGTCAGAGGCGTTACCACTGAGCTATTCAGGTACGCAACTGATCTCCTGTAGGATTGTAGTGGATATTTGATTGGACGCTAGTGACTGTTGTGACGTGTCTAGTCCTATCTTTGGTGCAGACTGAACTCTATCAGTCAGGTTTGTAATGTGTCCACCATTCTAGGTAGCTCACCATCACGATGCACATTGATTTTATGATATAAGATGGTTGGTAGCCTTGGACTAAGGTTTTGTGATAGTATGATATAAGCAGTAAGACAGTATCATCAAAAATGCTTCCTTACGCAGTGAATCTGCATCATAATCAATGAAAGTTCAAAGTTTGAAGCAGTATTTCACATTCGGAATTCAAAGCAATGGACAAATATGTTGCATGTATGGTTCCACTTAGAGCGCCTGAAGAAACCTAACTCCGGACCTATGGCTGTCATGGACTCTAGAATCCAAAAGAATCAAATGTCATACGTGCCTGTTTTGGTCACCTAAGAACACTGACCGTGATACTGGTTTCCTGTCTTGTTGATTAGGCTTCACGTCCAGGGGAAACGTAGGGCTTCCACCTTTGAAATTACAGTGGCGATGGTGTCCTTTTACAGATTTGCAGTTGCTAGCCTCCCAGAAAACCTCTTTTTCCAGCTTTACTACATACTAGGCAGGGTTTAGGATCTCGTAAGCCGGAAAGTGTACCTTTCCATCCCACGTGGCTGCTGAGCACTGTACCACTCAACCACCAACATATCCGAGTCCAGCAGTCCAGTGATAATAGCTGAACATCATCCTTCCCTCTTCCAATTTTTATAGAACACACTCCGGCAGTGAATAGGACTCATCTGATAGAAGCTTTGAACTCGTGACCACATTAAACCATTTATAGAGGAAGACCCTAGTCTACTCATCCACAACTATATCACCTCATTTTCAGGGTGGGGACACTACTTACCTTATTAAATTTGTTTGGCGGGATAGCTTTATCTCTCCTCCCGTAAGCAATGAACATGACTTCAGATTTGGTTGTTCTGCATGAACTAAAGTCAAGTGGTTTTAAGATATACGTTAAATATGAAGTGATATATAACCTCATTATTCAAATTACCGTTTTACATTTCAAAGCCGGAAAATCGATTCACTTAAATCAAACGTTTGGGCAATCAGTTATATACTCAGTGTTACATGAAGACACTTCCAAATTTGTTAAAGTGGTTTAAACAATCGTTAGCCAAGAATACTTCGTTCTCCACAGAAAGGAAAAAAACTAAAACTATACGGGAGAAAAAAAGGATGGCATTTTAATGCAGTTTCTGTCTCAGAATAAAACAAATGATTTGGTAAGAGTTTACTTTATAACGATTATTCTTAACTGTTTTTAGGGTTCGCCAAAAAAGTATTTTTGATTAAACCACTCAAATATCAGTTCTACGAAACTGTTCGTATATATGTACATATATATTCACTATGTTCTTGACAAATGGTCATTACAAACAAGCAAGCATTATCTTGTATCAGAAGTTTAACTGAAGTTCCATTCTGCTACCCTCTAACTTACGTAAGCGTCTCAACATAAAAATACAACTTATTTCACTTATGATTTATTGTAAACATGCATGAGAGAGGCATAACGTCGGACAACTTCATTCTTTTATGTATAATTTATCACATAAGGTTAACAGTCGGCAAAGCAACACAGTTGAGATTTATGTGTTTAAATATTCTTATTCCACTGGAGCAGATGATAAATATGGTATGTTATCTCTTCGGTTATTTTCTGTTCTCGCTCTACTATTACTTATGCTCATAGTTAATAACATAGAAAACCTGGTATACTACTACTACTACTACCTAAAACAACAGAAACAAACGGGTTGATACTGAATGGAGAATACAGCTCAAGTCGAATAGTCTTATATTTGTTTCTAGTCTAAATTTCTATAAATAACGGTATAAGTATCAAATATGTTCATGTGACTCTATTCCAAATAAAATGCATAGACAATAATAATTTTTGTGTGTGTGACAACAGATGGTAAAGATTAGATATTTTACGGAGATTATACACACATACACACACTGAGCATTTAGATGCTTCCTTTTGATTTAATGATATTTTAGACGAATAATTACCAAACATCTGATCAACACTAGCTGACTTGATTATTAAATTTCAGACACATAAAGAGCAGAATAAATAACAGAGAAAATTTCTGTTACGTAATAGATAATTAATGTTTGAATAAGCAAAGGATTCAGTGACTCCGTGATAATGGTTTCAGTAAACTTTACGCATGTGTAAGCATGAATTATCGTGATTGGTATATTTTACCATTCAGGAAATGTAATTTGTTGCTCTGTGATGCTCCCAGAGTTTTATCAAAATGCAGACTAGCAGATGGATTGAAAACTCAAGATGAACAGGTATCTGAAAGAAAAGTGTTTATCAGGTTACAGCTAAGTATGATTGAATACAGTAAGTTTGTTTTCTGTAAAGATTATGTGAAACCTGTTAGAATACTTCCCATGGGCTGCAGTATTTTGTGATATTTACGTCAACTCCATGTACACATCATATCAAGAAAGTACTTAATCGCATACCGTAGATTTATATCTGATAAAATTAGGCGAAATAGTTATGTCGTACACTGTGTACAGCCGGTGCTTAATGACTATAACTGTTGTAAAAGTTCGTGCTTGAACGAGATGGCCAAATACACATTTTAAACCTACAATTATTTGTCTAATCATAATTACAGCAGATCTGTCAGGTGCAATTGCATAAATCAGTCGATATCCTGTCATTCACCTCTAATTGATGACACAAGAATTGCAAAAAACTGTGTAGATCTTTACAGTAGACATTATCAGAAGAGTTTGATTTGTTTGGGTATACAAGAACCAATCCTTTGGAAGAGTTGCAAAGCATTTCTCACATTAACCTCAATCACAGTGGACAAGTTTCAGTTAACTCTACTCCCGTTTAGTTGACGAATATACTAAAAAATTATTTTGAATCTAAAGAGATTAGTCCCTTTTTTAAATTTGGATAGTGCTATTAGAAAACGGGGATTTTCTGAAAAAAAATGTATTACAGCAATACATTTCAAACAGTACGATCACATATTTACCTATCACGTCAATTTACATGAAAAAAAAATAAAGGGCAATTAAAGTACACAAAGTAACAAAAAAAAATTTAGGGATGGTAAGAATAATTAACACAACGTTTGGTTATCCAATTAGATAAGGATTACCAAGGAAGGTTAAGAGTAATGATAAATTCTTTTTGAACACAGAGCGGGGGAGGGGGGTTAAGTTTATGAATAGCTACAACCTCAGAGTATTTCAGTAAGCGTCCTTGACCATTTTTATATATGCCCTTAAAAGCTGTGTTAATATCAGTCTTATGGCTCATGTCGATTAGATGCTTGGCTATAGACGAAGTTGGTAGTTTGCCATCTGTGTAAAAAGTTCATCTATTTTTCTAACTATTTCGGATTATGCTCTCCCACCCTCACATGCAAAGCGCGATTACTCCTCCCTATGTATGTGCGTCCAGACACATACAGTGGTAAACAGAGTGGGATATGACATAATCACTTGTGCACTTTTGAGGTTTGCCGTGGAACATATTCTTCGTTTTTCAGTGATTACAAACTGGGCTGCATAATAGGTCCTACTAATGACCAAGTTTTCTCTCTGTCCGAATATCGTACTATTTCATTATGGGTAAATTTTGTTTTGATAAAGTCTCACAGTGTTATACAGTTATGTTTACTGATGACGTTTCAAGCAGAATTTATTGCTCATAATCATATCATATCATAGCAATAAATTGTGCACAAAACGTCATCAGTAAACATTACTGTATAACACTGTGAGACTTTATCGAAACAAAATTTACCCATAATGGAATTACACTCTAACAGTGCACAAGTTTTATTCTTATATCTATCCTACTATTTATTTCCGCAGTTGTATGGTAATTTGATGAAGACATCTTTCTCAATGACGGAATAGATTATATGTTTTAAGACTAATTGACTTCCATGCCTGTTTATAAACTTCAAAGGACATCTACCGATAAAAAACCTCGCACTTTGATTTCTTTATTTCCCATGTGATCTTAAAAATTGTACTGTAATAAATTTATTCTATTCTTAACAACCGGCTTAATATGAACATTAAAAGGTGTATTTATGCTAGCTTGTTGTTTCTAAGTTTCTTATTGCTAACACTAGTACTCTCAAGTAAATAGTCTGAGACACCAGTTAAATCATCATAACTAAGAAAAAGTTAAGTGGGAACAGTGTTATCCACTAGCATGCATGATTCTGATTACTGAAGTTAGGAATGCTAATATTATAAAACATGTAGCAACAAATATAAGAAAGTGAGTGTGTGGAGGTAAGATAAATGCAGATCCCAAGCCAGAGTGAAGCAACCAAGTTATCGTTCCCAGCTATTTTAGGAGAAATGTCTTTTCCAAATGAACTGACTGTTATCTCATGGTTTAAGCATAGCATTTGGAATACTGTTATTATCGCGTTTGTGATTATTATCAGATTTCAGACCGACTAGGTTAGCCAGCATTAGTAAAATTGAACTGCGTCTCAGTGACACCTGTTACAGTACAGAGGAAAATAGGTTTTGGCTCTTTATCTAATGTAGTTGGTTTCGCTTGAATATTTCACTTGATAAAATCTGCTAAGAATAGGTATGTGAAAAACATGAGTCTCTATTTGACTTACCTATACTTTTACATCCTGTATATATCATTCTACTATATATTAAATGACAAAGTAAGTGTGATTTATGAATATTTTCAAAAGACAACAGGTTCTGTTTAAGCATACAAAGGCGTGTTAGTGTCTGGATCTACTTACTATCTCTAGATGGCACTTAGCCATGAGAAAAAAAGTACAAAATCCTGATGATCCACATGATTAATATAAGTGTAGGCCTATGTCAACTCAAATGAAATATAGTCATCTGGACGGGTAGTATTCCTTCTGACGAGCTCTAAAAAATATTGATCCAATGCTATTTAACATAAAATCCATATGAAATTATCTGTCATGGTCAACAGCTCTGTTTTTTTCTCCTTTTTTCACGTAAAACAAAAGTAGCATGCATCAACACATGCTGTGGTGTTCAAACTTTTGAAATAAACTTTTTATAAAACGTCAGCAAAAAACGAATGTTGTTCATTTTAATCGAAAAGCGGAATTAATGACTACTGGTTTCTGTTTTTACCGTCATGTTTTATGCAAAATGGCAGTCTTTGTAACTGTATAGCGCCATAACACTATTATATGCATATGATTAAAGTTAGACTTTCAGTCGTTAGAACTACGTATATCTGTATATAATGTAATATAATGAGGTTCACTTGTAGTGCTATCACATTCAATGTGTACTTTAAGCTGACAGTTTTCCGTTATACCGGTGTATATTTATTCATAGTCATATTCATTCTGAACACACTTTGCATACTTAACATTTTTAGAGATCATTTAATCAGAATCATACATCTGCGAATGTAGTTTCATAGTCCTGAAGCACAATGGAAAGTCGACTTTCAAAGATTTGTGGACTTGCAAAGACCACGGTTTTAAGAAATATATGCCATGAGATACTGTACAATTTTAGATACTACTACTTTTAAGATATAACTTCGCCTAGTTAACTAGCTTTATAGTTTTCTAGCAGGTCTCGAACGAGGATAAAGACGGAGTGTACGGTGCGGCACTAGTAACCCCACACCACTAAATCTTTCAAACCGATAGAGAAACTTCAACACACGGAAAATACTTTAAAAATACAAAACTTCAAATAAAAATCTTATTCTTCGCTCGAATCCGAGAGGTGAAATGATACAACGGGCTGGTTGGTGAAGGCCGGCTGTCAGATACCGTCTCATAAACCGTTAATGCCCAGCTCTCGCTACGCTCGGGCCCACGCTGTTCTTAGAAGATATCTCAGAAACGCTTAGTTATAACGGACGCAAAAACCAAAACACCGATCTGCCGTTTGATATTTCTGTATTGTTACACCAACATATAAAAGGAATAAACGAACTAAGCAACTAAGGTCTGTAAACAAATATTACAATAATAAATCGTTATGTTACTTCTGACGATGTTTCAATCTTCTTTCTGAACAGCGACCGATGAGACGATGACTGTCGTATTGATGCCTCCGCGAAAATCGAGGAAGTTGATTTTGAGCAAACAACCAAGAATTGATCGTTCAATCTTCAACTCCATTGACACTCCCCGGCAAAAAAGGGATCCAACCCTTTTTTCCTTCACGACCAATGCACGTTGACTTGGATGCCATTGCGAGAACCTGGGTCACACGGACAGAGCTGAAATGGAAAACAAACAGAAAAGCCAACACACCACAAGCATACCCACAGCACAATCTCACACATCAATGACGACCTGCGCCTCCAGACAGAGACCTCCTCTTGACATCTTGCAACACAATCGCCACTTGCTAGAATGACTCTTGCAGAATGCAACGTGACCATAGCACCAACTCATGATACTCTACGCACATCCTCTTATCTACTCACTACCAATTACCACTGAAATCGCTTGTCACTCATTCTGCCTCAGTTCTAGTAGCGGTGACGCATGCGAGCCTCAGTCGTTTACACTCTTTCTCCCCGGCGTGTCGGACCGCAGCTAACAATTATCTCCGTGTGCATTTCATTCTCAGCAATAGCCTAGCCTCCCCGGCGTATACGACCCATCTGCTGTCTCTAACATCAATCAATTCATTCACGGATGTAGAAGACACGAAACAACTTCAGAAGTAATCACGACGAAAATTTTAACAAAATTATGCAATAAAAACAAGGCACGAAAACAACGAGTAAACACAATTGATCCAAAATCACAAATTGCGAAGACACACCACACGTATACACAAACAGTACAAATAACCTCGCGGATCATGTCTTGATGGAATTCCTTTGAAGAATTGCAGGACTTACACCAGTACGCCTACAACCCTTCACAGGTTGACGATTGTAAGTTGTGGAATGTCCAGACACAAACAAGATTAACCAACAATTACATCAATTGGAACTCACACAACTATTTAACACAAACATATGTACAATCAACACATCAAATGTTGTGGATTCTGACACGACAAACTACCCTTGAAGAACTGTAGGACTTACAGCAGTACGCCTACATTCCTTCTCAGGTTGATGATCCAAGTGGAAGTCGTCCGGACACAAACAGAATTACCAACAGCTAGATGACAGATGATATCAATTCAGTATATACAATATGAACATATGTACAAGATCATACACCAAGCACATTGGACTGCTCATTGATGCGCTACCCTTTGAAGAACTGTAGGACTTACAGCAGTACGCCTACAACCCTTCTCAGGTTGACGCCCTAGGTTGGAAAATCGTCGCAGAGTTCATTTGCTAACTTCCTTCTATCAGCTATATCCTCAAATCTGAACGGCAACACGCCCATGTCATTGTATCGTAGAATATAGATGACCAACAAACACACGACATATCTCATCAACCAAGTATAGAAACAGAGTAATTTACAC